GCTTTCAGCTCCACAACCATGCCATCCGTTGCAAATGGACTATGCATGTCAATTCCAAAGTGGGAAAGATGCTGCGCCAACAGTAAGTCAGTCACCATGTCCTCCTCGGTGTCGAAGAAGACGTCTGCACTTTAATACAGGAAAGAGAGATTGAACACTCCGGCCAATTGGTCATCATTGCTGCATGATTATTTTCCCACTGTCCAGTAATCCATCTCTATTGGCCAAGCCTCCCAATAATCTACTTATCCATTCAAACGTCTACTTAGGCAACCATTTATGTATCAATTTATGAATTGCTATTCTCTTTGTCCATCCATAACTTTGAGTACTTATCAAAACAAACAACCTTTCAGTCTTAAATGCTTTCTTTCCATCTAGCTACTCATTCTCAGTCCATATTTCTACCCATTCCTGATGCCTGCGTTTACCCCAGAGTGTAGCAGTCCATCCATCTCGTATCTGCGCCTACAAAAGAGCCCAATAAACTACACAGTCATCCACTGAGCTCACAAACTGGATCAAGATAAAACACCAATGCCTTACACAGGGTGTAATCATACCAAATTTTACACTCAAAAGTTACTTGAATTGGACATAATGCTCAATTTCATGATTGCTACAGCCAAAAACTTCAGGAACTTTGGTTGCAGGAAATCGTCACATCGGTGAGATTCATCCACAGCTTCTTCATTCGATTGTACTTATGACGTTTGGGGCACCTGTAATGTCTTTCACAGGTTGATAACAAGCAACCACTTTTATGGTCATTGTTAATAGGATCTAATATTTCGTCTGATCTACTAATAGCATGATAATTTACATTCTAACCTTTTAAAGGTGTCCAGATAGCAGTCGAAAGGACTTATGTTCAAGCAACAAGGCTAACGACGTTCGTTGCAATTTCTCGACTCAGGATGTAATTGGACAGAACGCAAACAATAAGACCCAAAATCTTTATTCAGAATACAGACCCCACTTTTCCTACTGCATACACAGAGTGTGAATAGGCAAGTTCACCTGATTCGATGCTGCTTTGCGACCACAAAGGGGATGTGAAAGCTAATGCCACATTGCCCGAAGAAGACACGGACTGACTCAGCGGAGAGGATGATGACCAAGTGAGCAATGTGAACCCATAAAATCGACTACTTTAGGACATTTATACACGTATGCATGGTTTTCACGGCACGATATACCTGAGAAAGAATCATACTCAGCTTCACGAGTTCCTACGTACACAGAAAAAATTAAGGAAAGACTAATTCTGAAAACATTCCAATCACTTTTATGTTGCTACTCTCGCGTAATGCCAAATTTGGAAATTAAATAATTAAGTGTTGCTTCAGTGTTAATAAAACTATAATTGGGTTCTGTTTGGCAATAAATATCATCTCAACATACCCAAACCTCTTGTTTCAAGGGGGCTGATGGAAATCTTCCTCCCGATTTTCCACAAACTACGCCAACCAGATTGCCAACTAACGATGCGGTGAGTGGAGGGATGGGCAAAGCCACCTTGCGAATGATCGATTCCCCTGCAGTAGTCACCTGGGCGAACATGTCCTCCGCTAAACAAATCCGGACAATGATGTCTCTTCTGTTTGGTAAATAGGTTTACCTTGAGATACGATCAGACAATATGGCGGTTTAGTGGCATTTTCTTCCTAGTGGTTTATGACTAGTTATAAGCCAAAGATATTAATCATTCCTATAATGCCAGCAAAAATTCTGCGTTCGGGATTTCAATGCTTGTATTCTTAGAAATTTCGTTTGTTTTTAGTTTTCTTTAGCGGTTAACAATCTGTCTTGCAGCGTCTCCGTGAAGGCTGGCAATCTATAAATGTGAAGTTGGGAGGAGTTGATACTTAACGTGCCTAACGGTTGTAGTCTAACAATGAACTTAACTTTAAGAAAAAAATGAGCAATTTACGTATTTTTATTTAAATTTCTTCTACATTCGTATTGATCACAAAGTGATTGCTGAGGTGTTTGGATTAAAATGACTGCAATGGCATAACACCTGCCCTCTGGGTGAGATTTGCAACTTTGATGGCCTTGTGCGCACCCATGTGTGCCATTCGAGAATGCACCTTCTAGACGCACTTATTGAGATCCTTTTGGATACCAAAATGAGGCTACTACACGTGACTTCCTTTTGCCCTTCGTAAAGATTGTGACAATTTGCATATTCTCCATCTGATACATTCGCCTTGTTGAATAAATGAGTGTGCAATTGTTAATTTCCTCTTACTGCAACCTGGTACAGTACAGCGGCATCAGGCTGTT